AACAGGACCATGTTCAAGTGAAAAGCTGTAAAACAAAAAACAACTAAATTGTCTTTTTTTTTCATTTGAAACCAAGTCAAATGTTTCATTCCGACATGTTGAGGAGATACAGGCACGTTTTTCTTCTCATTACAGTGATAGAATCGTCCTGCGACTGAATTAGCCAGATAACAAATAAGAGCCATGTTTATCTACTCTCGGCTGTACCCCTGATCTCATGTATTATGATATGATCCAGCCACATACAAACCTGAACAGAATAAGTGGTTTATAAGACGGATGAATGATTGTTGTCCTAGTTTGTCTGTGAGTTATTTAACCCAACCTATGTTGAAACCACGGCTCTCGGTTGCATGTGTGAAAGTAAAGTTTTGCCTGTAGAATGAGAATAAATTCAGATCTCCCTGGTATTTGACAGTAATGTCATGTGATCCACTCGTAACTGTTTTAACGTTTTCAGAATAACAAAACAAAAACAGTTAAAATTGAATAAAGATGAACAAAACCAGACACCTCTGATGTTAGTGCTCTGGATTCCACTTGATTTACACAGTGCTTGAATTTCTTAATGTGAATAATAATAATAATTATGTCATCAGACTGTCAGCTTGGAGCGAAGACTCAACTTAAATGCTCACTGATCTGGATTAACTACATATGGCACCCACATTTATTGTTGGCAAAGCTCAAAAGTAGGCTACAGTATTAAATTATGGTGAGATATGATAAGTGAGATGCTGTATCACACTGACACACAGCCAGGACTGTGCTTTGATGCCTCATAGCACAAAGGCCTCATAGCTCCAACACTTAATTTGTGTACAGTGTGTTCTTTAACCCACAACCCAGCTGGGAGCGACCTCATGTGAAGCATATTCTGTCTCTGTGTATAGTGAATAATGAATATGGCTTTCTACAGTGGTTCATGCAGCCTGAATCATCCATAGCTCGAACAATCCTGAGATTTTTCAGACATGCATTGAACTCCAGACATTTTTCTGAAGATTTCCAGACAGGCTGTCTATGAGAACACAAATGTGGGAGTCAGATGCCCTCAAACTTTTTTAGTAAAATATTTGAGTAACACCCATCTGAGAATACAACAAGAGGATATCCGGAAAAATTCACAACGAGCAAGGGGGTGTGTTGATAATGTTTCTAACACGCGACGGGCGCAAAAGTGAAAATCAGAACCCAGAATATAACTATCTCAAGACAAAAAAGAAGAGCGATACACGTAGAAGACGTCAACATGGAAAGTGAGGATCGAAAGCTTTTGGTGATAAGGGCTGACTCTGATTTCCTCAGCAGCATTTATACATGCGTTCACCCTGGAGGCTCAACACAGACGCCTCGCCTGAAAGTTCTGCTGCATTCTGCATATGTGTGATGTCCGGACATTTTTATGGAGTTCATGTGTAAAAACGGCTCTGGACTCAATACAGACACCAAACACTCCTGGCTCAGGCTGTGTAGGAGATCTATACAGGGGTCACAGTCTGCTGTCATTTTTCCTATCCTTTTTAAAACTGGAGGCAGTGGTACTGATGTAGAAAGAACATCATCTTAGGCAAAAGACGTTTATTAAAGAATAGGAAATATGGTGTGGATAAGGAGACTGGGAGATAGGTGGACCTCTTGGCTTTCTTAGTTACACATGGTGAAGACGGGTTGTTTTCTGCATTTGCACACAGAAGAAAGCTGGATTTAGCCACTCCACCACAGCGAAAACATGGAGAGGGTATGTTTACATCAAAATTCGATGAGAAAGAGGAGCCTTGACATGACGCGCTTCTCTGTGAGAGAGCATTTCTCCTGCTTAAGGGTAAGAGGATCTTAAAGCCTCTAAATCAATATTTGCCATACAGCCTGACAACCTCTAAGTGGGACGTTTTCAGGAACCCTTCTCAAGGTCTTACTGTAGCTTCTCTGAGCTCTCCGAGATACACTAACATGTGTTTTCACCATTCCCACATATTCATATTTTTTCACAGTGATTTGAAGTCAAGTTGTGACGGGTAGATATCAGGTACAGTAAAATGCAGAGACAAAAAAAAAAAATTTGACGGTGATATACAAGGTCTAATGTGGTGCCTCAGTATGTTGGAGGCTGTGACAAACGGAGCCAGGGCAGGTTTCAGTTTATTGTGGATCCCCCAAATTAACTAATGTGTGATGTTTTCCTGCGCACTGCTTGTGTCTATGTTTGAAAAAATGGAAGAATTTCTATATAATACCAGAGTCTAAAAGGCAACGTTGTTCTGAATTGTTAATAAATATGTCACTTCCCAACCCCTTTTCCTTCTTCTCTTTCTATCCTCAGCATCGTCTCTGGATGATGATGTTTCAGTCCACACTCCGGTTCCTTAAAACACATTGGTCTTATTGTCACAAACCCCCCATCTTAACCCTACACTAGAAAAGTTGCACTTCATTTAAAAGTCTCTTGTTTTAGCCTCACTCTGCCATAATACCCGCCCTTCTCTTCTATGTTTCTTCTTTTTTCTCTTCTCTCTTCCTATTGATTATGCAATAATCACCTTCCACTCCCCCATTTCCTCAACAAGGACAATTACTCTTCGTCTCAGTCTCTTGTGTGAGTCGCACTCTCCCATCCTCTCTCTCCACGTCTCTGTAGAGCAGGGATTTCTGGGCCTTGAGACGGCAGGCCAGAGACATGAAGATAGAGTCGACGTTCTGACTCTCCCTTGGGTCCTTGGCCGACGTCTCGAACAGCAGCATGTTGTGAGCGTCAGCAAACTTCAGTGCCGTATTTGAGGGCACCTGGGGAAAGCAGAGTTTGGTTATGAACCTTAATTGAATTTAGTAGTGAATAAAGTATTACATTCTTTTATGTACCTGCACTAACCTGTATTTGGTCCACAAGGTCACACTTGTTTCCAACCAGGACTCGTGGTACTGATGCTGAGACCCGATGGCCATTACACTCCTGGAACAAAAGGCGGCCATTTTCCTTTGACATCATGCTCAGGGTGTGAAGCTCAAATGTTGTTATGAACAGAATAATTTTGTGCTGCAATGATCTAGGTTTATAAATCATATGAACACAGAGACTCTGACACAAACTGTTTGTAACTGATATAATCAAGCTAGCAATGTAACATTAACTGTCATTCTGTCTCTCCCCTGACCTCAGAAATATTCCATTTGAGTCAGTAATGTTATGTCACATTATGACTGGAACAAATTTCAGTGTCATGTTCACACAGTTTACATCAAGACAAAGTTTGTTTCATGCAGCTGAGTATTGGATTGAGCATTTAGAATTCAATTACAGGCTTAATTCCAGAGCATTCTTGCCTCCAGGATAAATTGTTGTTCCAGAGATAATTGATATTTCAGGAGAAATTTTTATTTTTTCCATTGTATCATGCAACAGTATTAAACAGTGATGTCATCAAGACAGTGGTTGAATACTAACATATTAGTATTAATATCACTATAACACAGATATATGATGGATTAAGATAATCTCCCTCTGACTTTACTCTGCTTTCATCCTGGATTAGAATGGTCCCATAAATAAGACAAGGCATAACAGAAAAAGAATACAACTAAATGAAAAAAATAGACCCAAAATTTTCATAATACAGACATACTTGATTAATTGGCTAAAGCATATAACTTGAAGCGCTTATTCTAGTATATATAATATTTTCCATTTTGAAAATTCCCTCCTACAGAGGGCACCTCTGGATGAGGTGGGGCTTGGTTGGATTATTCACAGGAGTTGTTGTAGCAGCATTAACATTCAAAGAAACAAACCCTGCTCTGTGATGGAAACATCACATTAACAACCCATGGGTAGTGAATGGTTTTAGGGAAGGCAGGAAAACTATTGACATTCTGACAATGCTCATGATGCCAGAAATACAAAGTAATGTCTGTGACAAAGACGTGAGCTGTGCTGTGCATTTTATGCTCAGTCAACACTTCCTAAACTAACTTAAATGACAAAGCGATGCACCAATCACCAACCTCTATCCATGTCTGTAGGTTGCGGAAGGAAGCCATCTTGGTAACGTCGTATACAAAAACCACTGCGTGGACATTGCGGTAGTAGTGCTCCACCATGGATTTACGAAAACGCTCCTGACCTGCTGTGTCCCATACCTGTACCTGTGGAGACAGACAAGGTAAGTCAGTATTTATAGAGAAAAGACATGCAACAGATAAACAAAGATAAGGATGGGATCGATACAATTGTTTGAGATAGTCCCTGCTGGTCATGGGAATACTTGGATATAAGAGAACATATTTCAAGCTGTTTTCAGATAGATTTTGCAGTCAGATGCCTTCACAACACAGAAATCTCCAGGGCTTTCAGGTGAGTATGAATTCTGCTGCGAAAATCACATGTTCTTTTTTACAGCACATTGACACTGGTGTCAGCCCTTATCACCAAAAGCGCTCTTGACATCTTAGTCTGTCTTCTACATGTATGGCAATGCTTTTTCATCAGAGATATTTGTATTCTTTCTGTTTTTTTTTAATTTTATGTGAGTAAGAACGAACAATACCACCGTCCTGGGACTGCCTCACCTAAATGGAATGCAGCCCTCATTAATGCTGTTAACACTACACACGCTTTTCCAACTTTGACAATTCAAAATGTCTCCAGTGCCAAGAGCCTATTACCATTTGAACACTTTTTTATCACCAGTGGTTGAATGCTACATTAATGCTAAACATAATGCAACCATAGTTACTGAAGATATGTTTTTGTTTGACTTATTAACATATTATTACACTCATACTAATTTCTTTTGCATATTAAGTTGTGTAATATCCTTGCATTAAATCTATCATAAAATAATTTGTTTCATTGCTAAATATGACTGTTATAGATATATCACATACCATATGTGTGGGAAATGTTACATATGTTAATAAATGTATTTAGGTTTCTTATTTATATTTCTCATGCTTTTGGTTCCTACATGACCAGTGTTTACAGAGGGACGTTAGGCCTTAAAAAGGTGACATTGGTGTTGAACATGTGTGGTTAAGAGAATAAAAAGTCAGGTGTTAAACTGCTTGTCTAAAGTTATCAAACACTTTAATATGTAAGATATTGTGAGAATATTAACATGATTTTGACACCTTGCTCATCTACACTCTGCTTTGCTATTTATAGCCCTCTGCACCTCATAATGTTCTCATAATAATGTTTTGTTGCCAGTCTGTGAGCCAGAGGTGTGGGGAGGTCACCCAGTTAAATTGATGCATGGTCAAGACTTTAGCCTCATGTCTAGTCTGGGCATTAAATGATCCTGGGGCCTGCTGGATCTAAATCTTCAGTTCTCACCACAGCCACCAGTGTTGACAGAAATTATGTGACACAAGATAAAGTAACATAAAATAAACCCTTTAGTTAAAACAAATCATATCTTTAAGTACACAGAGGCGTACTTTTCAAAGCATCTTTAAACTGTGCGACAGAAATAATCATGTACTTCTCTTATTTTTTGTGTTTATGTCTGTGATTTTGCAAAGATTTTCCTCTTTGCCAGAGTCCCACAAACCCTTTTCTCACTGCACCTTCACTTTAGCATATGTTTTTAGTTCCTACACCTTTTTCAAACCATGGCACTTTTGAAATGTTGTGATAGCCAATGTGATCTCTGTCAATTCATGTTGTATGCCAAACTGTCCAATTTATTGTTCAAGATTTTACAAATTAGGTCCTGAAGAGTACAACAGAATAAAGGTCAAAATGTCACCAAAAACACCAGGAATGATCCTGTGTGGACCATGAAAAATGAAAGACTGTTTGACCAGTCGTCATCAAAATAACTTGCTCTGGACCAAATGGACTGACACACACGTCGTGTTATTAGTTATCTTCAGTTACTATAGCTTCCTCCCCAAGTCCAAAGACATGCACACTGGAGTAATGTTAACTGGAGACTCTAGATTGTCCATAGGAGTCAATATGAGTCCCTGTGATATGCTACTGGCCTCACGCCCAATGTCAGTGGGGATTGGCTCCAACTCCCTCTGAGACACTACACTAAATAGATGATGGATGGATTGAAAAAAACAATACAATTCCCACGGATGGAAGAAAATAAGCGGTCGAAAGGATTTACCTCAATAAAATGAAGAGGACAATGAAGTTGAATGAAATCTCCATGAATGCATATCTCAAGAACAAGAATCTTATCAGCTTCACGCTTGACATGTGTATTGTTGAGAACCCATGGAAATCTGCAGATGAGTTGCACGCCTTTCTCTACATCCTTGGATAAACTACAGCAGTGGTCAGCAACTGGGTAAAAACTGAGACCGACATTCAGGGACCTCTCAGGTGGTAACGACATTCATAGAATCACATCCTGTTTGGCAGTTTGTCTTCAAAATAAAAGCAACCATTTCTTTTATTGTTGCAATGCTTTATATCAAGCTGAATTATAGAGCTTTAAATGTTTTACTTACATATAAGTCATAAAGTGAAATTCAGACTATAAAATGTTCCCTGCTAACAAACCAGGTAGGATGAACACAAAGTTTTCTAACTTTACTCTGCACCATAGACTGTTTATGAAAAGCTCACCACACAACATCCAGTAAATGTAAATTATGAAAACAGTGGCATGTAGACGCTCACAGTACTGTACTGTGTGTTGACGGCTAGCCAATAGTGTAGTGTACGTGTTTGAGTCAGCATCAGGGGGCATCTGGAGGTTGTAGACATATGGCTCGACTGAGACAATTTATTTCAGCAATTATCCCGGTGACGTTGCAGCACTATGGTCCACATTTGGTGGTTATTGTTGATGGCGCAGGAACAGGTGCCCTGAGAAATGTCAGGGATTATGGGTATTTACTGCTTCTGTGAGTGGATTCAAGTAAGTTTCTGATGGACTTTTGACAATTGAACAGATTTTATTATAAAAATATATATTTTTTAAAAGGTGACATTCAGCTGATAAGGCCTATTACCACTAAATACCACTATCTGGTCTCACAATAACATTAACTCTGTTCCTTTCTGTCTGTCTCTCAAGCACAGACATGATGACTCTGCCCAGCCTGTGCAAAGCATTTCAACCTGAGGACACTGTAGTGAGATGTTGTTTCAGGGTGGGGCAGATAAAATGAAAGAATGGGCCCTGTGTGATGTGCAGGCAGACACTGAGCTGCAGCTGATCAAAAGAAAGGAAGGTGAGGAGGGGGAGGGAGGTGAGGAAACGCCTCCTGTCGCTGCTGCTTCTCACCTTGATGGTCTCCCCTTCGATCTCCACCGCCTTCTCCCTGAAATCCACGCCGATGGTGGCCTCGGTTTTGTCGGGGAAGCTCCCCCCGGTGAAGCGGAAGGTGAGGCACGTCTTCCCCACGTTGGAGTCGCCGATGACGATGATCTTGAAGATGCGCGTCTGGATGCTAAGCTCCATGGAGGAGGTGCTCAGGTCCACGGAGGACGCGAAGCCCGCGACGGCATCGGTGCCGCTGCTGGCTCGGCTGCGGCCGGCTCTGTGGAGATCCATGGAGGACGTCAGGATGGTGACATTGTCGTCCGCTCGGCTCCTTTGAGTAATTCCTCCTCTTCCACTGCCTCCTCCTCCTCTGCCCAGAGCTCGGATCTCCCCCTCCGGAGAATCGTTGGTCATTATGCCGGAGGAGGCGATGCGCAATCGGGTGTGTGTGTGAGGAGCAGAGGGGGTGGACGGATGGATGGATGGGTGAAGGGAGGGGGAGGAAGGAAGGAGGAGAGCAGGGATGGATGCTCTCTTTCAGCAGCTGACTGTAGCCTTAAAGGGAGAAGCAGTACAGATATTTAAACTATGTCTACAATCATCATAGTAATGTATATTCTAAACCATAAACACCACATGAGGTCACTACATGAACACAATTGTGAGACACATTTGTGTTAAGTGAAAACAAGTATTTCTAAAGTACTTAACTGCGGTATAACTTCAGAATTGTATATAACCTCTCCACCACGGTGGTGGATCTAGCATTTTTCTAAATCAGGGGCCACAATTTATACAGAGGAGCCAATATCCAACATCCATGTTCCTGATTCATTAAGGTGCACATTTACATCATTCCTTATTTACTGATTCTGTCCTGTTGCTTATTTTATACTGTGAAGACTATTTCTTCGGTTGTTGTACATTAGTTTCCTTTTCAAAAAAGAAAAGAAAAGTGTGGCCGGTTTGTCTGAATGCCATGTATGATGACTCGACTCTTTACAATAAAAACAGTTGAAACGAAAGGACCAACCAAGTGGAATGCCTGGCAGCAAAAATCGAACCTGGAGAACTGCTACCAATGACTTGCCCTCCAGAGCACAGAGCAAAGTTGTAAGCACACCATTTGTCCAAGAAGGGGAACTGGAACACTGACTAGGATTGGTCAGTTGAATCAAGCCACAGACTGGGCAATACTGGTGGGTGTAGGCCATCTTGGTAGAATTGACAGTACCCTGGGAGGATGCTGTTGAATGCAGTGGTGGATATAGTATATAGTTCATCCTTGCTCCCCAACTTAAACACCTTAAACTCCACATTCCTTCTCTCGTTTTTTTATTTTTGTTTCATGAAAATGTTTTTTCCCCATTCCCCATATACTTGGCCCAAAGCTGATCACATCAGTGGTTCTTGGCTCTAAATGATGGCTCAGTTTTCTAAATCGAGTAAATATACAAAACAATTTAATGGAAAAATGTGATGCAGCTGAACACTGACAATAAATACAATGTGACCATGGCTGAGTGTAACATTTCCTCTGTGCTAGAGAGAAAGTGAAAGAGATTTTCTCACACCACTAAGTCATGTGATCTGATCAGCCGGTCATATTATCACATTCCATCAATCAACGTGGCCGTAACGCAAAGGGCTGCAGTCTTGACAGATTCCAGGTCTGAGTAGTTTAAATTTAAATCACAAGAATACCAGAAATTCTCATTCTAACTTATTAAAATCAGAACCTTATCAACTACCTTTAAAAGAACCAACCTAAAGACAATACTCAGTATACTTTATTAAATCATTATGCAAATTCTTTTTTGTAAATTCTTTTTCCTCTGAGATCATTCAATGAATGCCAACCAGGACGACCAGCTAAGATGAATCGTGAGCCCTAAACATTTAATTCAGAAAAAAACATATTGGAAAATGGATGTATATGATTATTGTAGGAATGAAGAAACCACACAGCCCATAAACCATTGTTAATGATCCCTTTCCAAGTAACCTTCTCTAAAAAATCTCTCTATGTTAGAAAGGGAAGCCATTGTTGCTCAGTGGTAAACGTAATGTAAAGCTGAACCATCCGATCTTAGGCTCCACCAATCAGAGAGACGTCACGATTACACCTGAGGATTGTGGGTAGTGTGGTATTTCTCCTTGACATTGTGAATAAAATGTTAATAATATTTTTTTTCTTAAAACACAGTTGATGTCATTTGTACTTGAAGCTTCAACAAGAGCATATAATATTGTTTCACCATCTCATAGCTTGTGCTACCTTGGTATTGTTCCTTCCAGAGCCATACTGTTGAGACACTTCAATAAAAAAAACTAAATTGTTAACCCAGTGATTGTCTCACAAGAGGCAAATGATTGAAACCTGTGAATATGTTTACAAAATTTCATGGCACTCCATCCAGTCATTGTGTTTCAGTGAAGATCTGTGTTGAGGGGATGCTACCTGTGTGGCTAACAATAAAATGACATCAGGCCGACGGCTTTAATCTTCACCACCCACTTACCAATCTCACTGTTAGCATGATTCACCCTCTGTGATCAATGTCTTAATAACATGATTGCAGTTATTTTACACCTGCAGATTCCATTGTGTTCATTTCAATTACTGGAGCTTTCATGTAGAGCCAATCTGCTATTTACTGTGAGAATAACACAAAATCAGTTGTACTTACTCTACGAGATGTAGCTGTGCAAGGTGCTGCCGGATGTTGAAGCTTCTGGGCTTCCATTTTGACTAATAGGAAAAAAACAAGACAAAAAAACACACACCTACACACATACATCCAGAATACACATGTAGGCTACACACAGTCCCTGTCTGTTGATATCAGACTGAAATGCAGACAGAGACACCAACAATGTCTTATTTTCCCTCTCTCTCTCTCTCTCTCTCTCACACACACACGCACACACACACACCGCAATCACTGTAGAGAACATTCACCCAAACACAAACTAGATCTCTTCCTCAAAGACTACACACTCTTTCACTGAGAAACACACACACAACAAACACACTGCGTCAAACAATCCCTCTGCTTGTGTCTGACAAAGCTCCGTTCTTCCTCAGTAAAAGGCCTGTTTGTCTGGAGATGAATCTCAGTGGGACATTCACATTCTGGTGAACACAAACCAACAGTGAAATATAGCATGGATTTGCATACGCACTTGGCTGCATACAGGCTGACCCAAAAAGCATTTTACACATGCGCATGCGTTTAGAATTTTGGCAGTAACCAACATCTGAAATAACATTATCTACTGTGTTTATAACCCATCTGAAACAGTATTTTACTCATTTGGGATAGGGGAAGGTTAATGGCTTCTTTGTGTGATAAACTGATCCGACAGCAGCTGCCACTCAAGCATTTACAGGGTTTAATGAGCAAAATAAGGTTAAGTATGCCTGTCTAATACTTTAATAGAGTGGAGACCTCACAAGCATATGCATAACAACTAACAGCTCATATTGAGACATATGTCACACACACATATACAGTAGCATTCAAATGCAAAATGACGATGAATGTATTGTTCACAATTGAAAGCCAAACACAGTACAGAAAAGTGAGAATGAGTTTACTTGTAACATCTCACACAAATTTCAGTTCATTACACACAAAGCTCAAACCAGGAAATGAATCTGTACGTCTCCAAAACACATTCGGTTTTACAAGCATGACGTGGAGAATTTATTCTCAGACCACCTCAGTCACTAATTGCAAGTTCATACAGTTCACTTAAAACATGTATTTGTCTCTTTTCTCATAACTGCACATAGGGGTGAGCGGTACACTAGTGTAATAGTCATCCCCAGTGTGACTATGCACCAAGACATGGATGGTGCAACACCTTCATCACTGTGATAAATCAATAGACTACTTATAAAAAAGTAAGCATTTTGTTTTTGTCAAGCACACAATTGTGGTTTAAATACTGTCTTTATACAGTTTATCTTCTAGTAAATACAAAAAGTAAAACATAATCACTATATCAGCCTATCAGCCTATCAGCCACTGCCTCAATGCAGGGTGCGTGGTAAAAAAGGAGCAGCCAAACTGATCAATGAAAGAGTGGTGAGGCTCGTCAAAAGTAGCCACTGAGGCAACCACAGGAGAAGAAACTCTCAAAATGGGTGCATCACCATTGTCTGTGTATTAAATCATCCCACACAGAGCAAATTACAATGTTATTCAATGGAGTGCAGCTCAGGTCACACTTTTCTTTCTGAACCCGTCCAAGCCAGAGAGTCAACTAACCAAAACGCTTGTTTTTCTTCGGAACCCGACTTGAGCCCGATGCAGTTGTAAGCTTAATGTAAGCTGCAATGACACTGATTACATGTGCATTGTAAAAAATCAAGTAGTACATAGCCCAGCTAACGTGATAGAACCTGACCTGAAGCCAAAAATCATTTATCACTACTCTGTTATGCAAACTTTGTTGCCGTGTCATCATATTAAAAAGGGGGAAAACAAGCAACCTGTAAAAACATAAAAACCATCAATACATGAATATGAGAAGGCAACCTGCACCCAGGCCAAAACCGGTATGCCAACAACCAGCACCAGTGGAGCATGTCCCAAAACCAATGTGTCAATTCAGGCATTGCTTATAACTGCTAGACCATTTACAACAAGACTAGTGAGAGATGTAAAGATATCATGAGACTGGATTCTCCTCCCAAAAAGTGACACAATAACGTCATCTTCCAAAAAGAAAAAAAAATTGTGATATTAATTTAAGGCCGCCCATCCTTAACTGCAAGTTGAAAAATGAACTGTGAGCAAGCCTGATGGAATGATTTGACGGCCATTTTAAAATTCAAACAGGCTTGATGTAAAATGAGTTTAAACCCAATGCTTTGTTATTTTAGCACAGCAACAATAAGGCAATTGACAGATAAAAAAACAATACATACTTCTGTACTGTAGTTTTTACTCATAAATTATATACTTACATATTTTCCCATGTCCATGTTTATGTAAATAAATGATACTGATAACTACACAGTGTAAAGCAGGGATAGGTGGTATTTGTCTACTCATAGATAAGAGCCACTGCACATAAAAAGTTCCTAAATATGGCATTTAAACTATTGAGTAGAATACTTTAAGACAAAGCCACATACAGGAATTATGACATCCCACTCCTCATAACTGTCAACTGTTGGGATCAAATCTTTGCTTTGTGCGGAAATGAATAAAAAATCACTGTAAAATGTAGACAACCATATGCATATAAGAGGTGCACCTTACAGTTAGATACATTAATACAAAGACGGAAGCTTCGGAAGTTATTTTGCTTGCGTTGTCATGTCAAAGCAAAAGTGGAGTAAATTAAGAAATTATAATCATGTAGGAGCACTGTGAAATTATATCTATGGGATAAGGCCAAAAATGCAAAGGTCTGAGCAAGCACAAAAAGCACTCTGTGTAGTTAAAATGCATGTTAAGGTTCAAAATGTATAATTAAAAGACTTCTACAACATACAGTATATACCATAAAACAAAAAAGCACAGGTATAAAAGGTCAACGTTCATTAGAATTTGATGCTCAGTAGAAACTGTTTTCTCAATACCACCCGTGATAAGTGGTGAGGGAATCATGTGCAGTATGTTTAAATCCTGATGGAAGAATCTTGATTCAGTCTTAATTCCCATTAGAGAGTAGCTGTAATCAGACTACTTGTAGGTATGTAGATTTGAAGTCTGTTCCAAGAGCATTTTTGGCATTGCATTTGTAAATACCAGAGTTCATGAGCACAGAGTTCTGTATGACTAGACTGCCCTCTTCTGTCATGTGGATCCCTCCCTGCATTGTGAACCGGTTATGTGGAACCAACGTTGTGCGTCCAGGCAACGTCCATGAAATATCAGGTTTGGGAATACCAGTCGCAACACAGTTTAATGTCACTGACGATCCCCGGTTTACTCTTGTAATTGAGGTCATTGTATTAGTGATGCGTGGTGGGAAAACCATCACTGCAACTGGGTAGGATAGAGTTGATGAGCCAAAAGAGTTGAAGGCTTTACAGATGTATGTTCCTTTGTCAAAGGTGGTGACCTGCCTGATCTGGAGGGTCCCATTGGCAAGAAAGGATACCCGGCTAACAGTCTGATGTTTGTTCAAAACAAGGCCATTGGGTAGAGTCCATGTGATTGACGCCTGTGGCCAACCATCAACAGTACAAGGCAAATTGAGATTAAGGCCATATGTGATCTTCATTCCACCTGGAAATGTAAAATTGTAAGATAGAGTAAATGACAGGCAAAATTCACAGATACACCAACATTTACATCACAATTAAGATAACCACAATAGAGAGAAAGAGAGAGAGACAGGTGCATGTTACATATTGGGATGCAGACGAGCAAACAGCTAACAGATGTCAACGTCAGTGTTGTCTTAATATTTGGGCAGATGGAACCTTCCTAAGGATTTTTCCCTCTCAGACACATCTAACTGTTCTGACATTTAGATATACATTTTGGTTATTTAAAAAAAAAAAGGTTTTCTGACCAATCCACTGATGAGAATAAATGTAGTATATAGGTCTAAAAGTGCCCTCAGCCCTTATCTTGCTGACAACTAAAGAGATGACATGCAAAAAACTTACCTGTGGAACCCCTGATCACCGGCTTTCTTCCTGCTTCCAGTGCATAACGTTTTTCTGCTTGTCCTGCCACATTTTTTACTAGGCACCGGTATACTCCCTTGTCAGTTGCAACTGGTTGAGAGATCTGTAGAGTTCCATTACCCAAATGATGGGTGAAGCGTTGGAGCTTAACACCAGGTGTTAACATCATCCCGTTGGGTAGCACCCATGCAAATTCAGGATTCGGCTTGCCACGAGCAGGACACTCCAAGATCAGTTCCCCTCCATCTTGCTTTATTGGTACAATTTCAATATTGGGAACAGCAAAGCTCGGTTTCTCTGCGAGTGATGCCACCTCTAATTCAACAAGGAGAGAGGATTCACCCAGATGGTTTTTAGCTACACACATGTATTTCCCTTCATCTGTTTTTCTAACCCCTCTCAGCTCCAAGCTCCCATTTTGATGTACTTGGAAGCGACCACCAAGGTAGGGTGTTGTGAGTGAGTTGCCATAAGGAGTAACCCACAAGATTCTTGGCTCGGGTTTTCCTTCCACTCTGCAATCCAGAAGCACTGTTTGGTATGAAACACCCAAAATCTTTGAGCTCCTCTTTCCTTTCATACCATTGATGAAAGGTTCCTGGGGTTCAACTTCAAGTTTCATGTTTTTAACATCATCACCCGCAGAATTTCGTGCCACACATGCATATTTTCCTTCATCAGCAAGTTTCACCCTTTTCAACACTAATGTCCCATTGTCCATAATGTGAAATTTGTCTGATGACACAGGTATCACATCATTCCGTGGTGAGATCCACGTTATTCTTGGTATAGGTTCACCTGTTGCCTGGCAACTCAATTTTGCAGATTCTCCCAGCTTAACTGTCACAAAAGATTGTGATTTAAGTCTAATCTTGGGAGCATTTGGTCCCACTTTGACGCTGACCTTTCTCTCATCTTTTCCCAGTTTGTTCTTGGCATAGCAAGTGTAGTCACCCTCGTCTTTTCTTCCCATCTGTTGGAGAAGTAAGGTTCCATTGCCAAAGATAACATAGCGACGATTGCGAAGGCCACTGTCATCTGACTGAAGGGCATTGTTGACTAAAGTTCCGTCAGGAAGACTCCAGGAAACTTCTGGATCAGGGAGGCCTGTTGCAACACAGTCCACCTATATGGAAAAAAATGAGTGGATGAGGTAGAATTAAAAAAATATATATATATTATTGTATTGTACTATTTGTTGGTTGTGTCTTTTAAATTATTGAATGTCTGAATAAGCCCATTTAAGAACACAGTAAGAGATCCTCCAGAGGGGCAATAGGTGTGTTGATGACTAATCTAACACACGACAGACACAAAAATTAAAGAAAAAAAACAAAAAGGAAACCAATATCTAAGGTTGGAAAAGCAGAGCCGCACAGGTAAAAATCCTAGATGAAGATGTAAAGCTTTTGGTGATCAGAGACGACGGCATTATCTATGTTCTGTAAACAAAAACACTGTGTTGTCATATGTGAAAGGCAAACTCCAGAGAAAGTCCCAATTGTGTGGACATTCTCTGGAATTCATGTCTTTAGTCATGGTGCTTAAACAGCAGACAGACCATAATCAAATTAAACAGAGAATGAATATTGGATTCACATTCACAATGTTCCAAAACACAACTCTACACTAATGATATTTACCAGTTTTCTAGTTTGGAGAATAGGAAAAGAAAATGTATGTGGTGTTAAGTATGTCAAGTGTTTACATTCTGCTCTGCTGTCCCCAAGTGACCAGACAAATACAATGATATTCCTTTGAGATGTTTTCAGAAAAAAAGACACTGGTTATAAGAAGAAATTTAAAAAATGAGGTGATAAAGAAAAGTGCTTGTAATAGTCTATGCAGCCTATTTTACTTTAAATTCATCTTCAGCCATCCTCCCACATATACCTGGAAATTTTCTCCAAATATGACCCTGGTCTGTGCAGTTCTCACATGTTCAATTCTGGGGGCGGTCATCAACACCTCCACCTAAAAAAACAAATATACGAAGAACTTTTAATAAGAAAGAAAATGTCAATGAAAAATACAGACAGACATCAGTCAGGTACACTGAGTGACCCACAGCTACTTTTGCCAAAGAACATATCAAATAAAAGCTTTTTTCTTTACTAGTTGCTCTCCTGTTACTACCTGGAAGAGCTCCATGTCTTCTCCATTGGGCCGCTGAAAGACACACAGATAATTTCCACCATCTAGCTCTGTTAGCTGAAGAATCCTTAAAGTCCCATTACGGAAAACTTTAATTGGTCTCTCTGGGCTGGAAACAGATGGAGAAGAAAATCAGGCTGATTAGAGCATTCAAGTTTAAAGCCACCTCATACCTTAAGTCCTACCACAGTACTGTTTTCTGATCAGACTTCCTCTCAGGTCTATTTGGGTGTAGACAATCTGGGGTTGATAGTCCACTCTACAGCTCGTGTACCCGTTTGAGACAACTATATTTTTGTGACATCATAAATTTCCACCATAGATCGATCCATTTTCACCAGACAAGTAGCCTGTACTAGGAAGCAGAATTTGTGGATTTGGATGTTTTAAAGGTCCAGTGTGTAAGATTTAGGTGAAATGGAACTATTGGTAGAAATCTAATGTAGAATAATCCTCATGATGTTTTCACTAGTTTGTTTCATCTAAATTGTTTGAATTGTAGTTTTCTTTACCCCAGAAGAGGCCTTTTATATTCAAATACTGCCGTGTTTTTTACATTAGTCCAGACTGGACAAACTAAACAACTTTTGAGATTTTATGACAATTAAAGGCTACCACAGGTTCTTTTTCAAGTTTGGAAGGAGAGGGTGAGGTGAGGGGTGTTCAGCTGCAACATGCAATTTCAACACTAGATATCACAAAATTCTACACACTGTAACTTTAAGGGTTACGATAGTTGATAACTTCCTACTGCGAAAATCACCTAACTAATGATAAACACTGAATCTGCTCCAGAACCGGTTTACTTCTGAGGATCAGACCAAAACTTTTTAGGCGCCCTAATACTGACCAATCAGATTAGATTAGACAACCAGAGTCATAATTCTACAGGATCCTGACAGGGACAAAAGAGTTTGCAGCAAAATGACAAAAACAAGAGTGGAAGTGTTGTGGTTTTGCCCTCTGGTGACCTCTTGTGAATTTCTGAAAGACTTTCTAGGACTTGAGATTTTCTGTTGTATGGTCTTGTCATATACTGGACATTTACCTTGTTTCTCTTGTGTTGGAATTTGTGTTCTGTGTTTGGTCTTTTTGTGCTCTTACTTAAATTAAATTGTTGTTTTATCTTAACTTCTTTCCTTGTGTGTCTCTCTTATTTTACTGTAATTTAATGTAATTATAATTGTTTTCAGTGGTATACTGCTTCATGGCGTTACAAAAGGAGATATTTCAGTTACCTGTATCGGTGTTCCAGAATAGTTTTTGAGGGTAGCTGCCAGATGGTCCCTCTTGTGGATCCGCTAGACTCTGGACAGTGGAGGTAGACGGCAGAACCATACATAGCAGAGACAGAGTGTTGCCGGGATGGCACAGCATGGCGGTGGGTTGGAGGAACGGGAATAGGAGGCAGGTGGAAGAGAGAGGGAGAATCTGACCTCACCTCCAACTGGACAGTCCTTTTGGTGATTCCAACAGTGTTAGTGGCCACACAATTGTACCTGTGAAAAAGATCAGATGGTTGACATAAAAAAATGTGAAATAGCAAGCCATTTCAAAATATGACAAAAAGCAACAATATTAAATGGAAATAAGTGTAATTTCTAAAATAGCTGCCTCAGGGTATTGTTATTGATATATAGTAACATATTGCCTGTCTTTTGGGTTGTTTTTTGGTTTGCATTTTACAGTTTTTTTCCTTATATGTTTTGGTGCTTATAAGTTTATCTAAGTATGTCATTACAGTAAGTGGGTAAACTCTCCAGGGGCCGGGCTTCTGTGTAGTGCAGCTTAGCTGTTCTTCAAATGGTACAATAAACTGTCCATCCTATCCTACCGTGAGGCCTGGGAGGACACCACTGAACTCTGATGCTATTTAAGGTGCAGCACTCAATAAACGTTTAGTTAAGAGTTATTTCCAGTGCCACTTTTCATCACTTATATGAAACTTTACTGCTGGTGACTCTTTGGAAAATTTCAGGGCTATTATTGTCATAAATACTACAAATGTTAGCTCTGTTTTCTTTATAAGTATTGGATAGTAATGCTTTTCAACATTAGCAGTACATCGTGTTATACAAACACATAATAAAGTCTCACTCAACTACTGCTTAAGAAATCTTGTATAAAACTAATGCTGTCTTTGGAGGTAGTGGGATCAAACCACCTCTGTTGATTTGATTTGCACTCTAGATTTACATTTAGCATGGACTTTAAAAAAGCAAACAAGGCTTAAAAACAGGTAAATAATGAAATAAATAAATCATAAATATATAATTGGATGTAAGTGATTAAGAACAAATTGTTATTGTACATCATTACTCTTAACTTAATGAAATACTTACCTCCCACCATCAGATGGCGAAACATCCTTCACAAGTAGTGTTCCATTAGGGAAAACAAACACCTTGCGTCCCAGAAACTGTGACGGCTTTACATGGACACCTGCTGGGAGCATCCATTTCAGAGCAGGCATTGGTTCGCCTTTCACAGAGCAGTGGATATACACACTCCTGCCTGGTTAGATGGGATTGTATTGATCTAGATTACTTGTTTTGACATTGTAAACATTCTGCAGTGCAACTGTATGATGAGAAAATGTTGTATTATTAGTTTTTATGAATTCACATTCTGTACCATACCTGGCTGAATGACAACAGTATCCATTGCTCCTTCACTAATGCTTGGAGGCAGAGCTGCCACATGGAGATGATAAGTAATTGTATCAGCACCTGCTGCATTACTTGCTATACATTTATAGTCCCCTTTGTTGGAGAAATTGGCAGAAAATATTTGTAGGGTTCCATTTTGAAGCAGAGACATTGGAGAGAGAAGAGTGCGAACAGTCCCAACTTCACGAACAAATGTCCTGTCTGGAAGAATCCAGGAAATTTGGGCTGGCGGTTTTCCAGAGGCAAGGCAGTCAAGAGTCATAGCTCTCCCTAAATAGGCTGCGATGTCTGTTGACTTTGGTTCTTGGATCTTGGGTGCCTCGGTCTGGACAGCTAGGGTAGTGACCATGCGATCTGATCCAAATCGGTTCTGTGCCGTGCAGAGGTACTGGCCTCGATCCTGAAGCTGGATGTTTCTAATAACAAAAGTTCCATTCTTGAAAACTTCAAAACGGTGACCATGCTTGCTGTTTGCTGGGATGGTGGCACCTGAGAAAGAAGCAGAAGAGTTAAATTTGGTGCCCCCATTGAGTATCAAAACATTTTTTATAGCAGACAGATCTGAGCTGACATCAACCCATAGATAAATCTTTTTTTCTCTGATCTTTTACCTGTGGAGACTTTGGTCCATGCGATAGAAGGTTCTGGATTCCCTGTTGCTTTACAGGGCAGGAAGACATCACTCTCTGCAAGTACTGAAACACTAGCTGCTGCTATTGTGGTGATGCGTGACTTCATTCCACCGCTTCCAGCTCCAAACATCCATGGAAAAGGTGGGGCAGCTGTTGGCCGACGAGAGCTGATTCGTCCTGCTACAAAGGAAAACAATTTAAACAGTAAGAATATCATCAATAATAATCAGCTCTAAATAATCAATATTTTTAAAAATATAATAATTTTTTACCATTATAAATCCATAGCTTATATCTGTGTACCTACCTCCAACAGGCCACCAACTTCCATGCAGAACCTCAGGGGTAGTTGGGTGATATTGGCGCGGGGTTGGGATGAAACCAGAGGATGATGATGATGTAGGTTTAGCCGGGTTTGAAGGTTGCAAGTTGTAAATGTAAGTAGTTGCAGGTGGCTTGGGGCTGTAGGGTCTGTACAAGGATGGAGGGTTAGGTTTAGGTGCAATTCGGGATGGAGGATTGTCGTAGCCTGTGCGAGGTTTGGGTGTCACCATCCTCCCAAGTTGAGCGATGCGATCAAGTTGTGCCTAGAACAGTTGAAGTCATCAATTACCATACTTTGTTGATATGTTATCCTAACCATCATTGGCAAAGGGATCATAGCTGAATCGTATAACATGAATGACATGTCCCTTTACTACACCAACTAACTATTTACAGTTTGTAATTCAAACAATTTCAATAAGTGTGTCATTGATTTATAAAGTTACCCTCTATAAGGTGAGTTCACTTAGTCCACATAGAGAACCACAATTAGAAAACAGGAAACATAAAGCAAACTCGCCAGCACATCACTCATCATACCTGTCTGTATCTGTTCCTAAGCCTTGACAGAAACAGTTGATCAATGGTTTGGGTACTGCCATCCACATGATGATTTTGATTTTGGTGGTGATTATGTGATATCTGGGGATTAGGGAGTGTGAATTGAGGCTTTCTTGTTGTTCCAGAGGCTGTAGCTGTAGGTTTGACTGTTTCAGCAGTGATTTCTGGTCTGTTGGTGAAAAATGGGCCTTTAGTCCATGGGTGGGGCAGAGACCAGGGTCGATGGGTGGGCACAGGGTGTGACCCAGGACCTAGGAACAATCAACAAACAGTTGATCAAATAGATATCCATACATGTCAACAACAGTCAGATATGACAACATATCTAGAGATTGTATCATATATTTATTTAAATAAGGAAATAATTGCATAACAGTCTAATTTACCTTGCCTAGGATGAGGAAATGACCTTTGACCTGGCCAGGAGGGGTAGAGAGGGTGGTAATGATGATGATGATAGAGTGAAGGCCTCTGGGAGGTTGGAGTGTATCTGGGAGGCTGGGATTGTCTGCCTGGAATTACTCCCCCCTGTCTTCCTGTGTTTCTATCTTGATTTGTCGGTATCGTCTTGGAGTTGGTAGGTTGCTCTCGTCCCTGGTTGTGCTGATGGAGCCAGGGGTGAATTGGCTCCATTATTGGAAAACTGTGGATCTCAGGTTTTACTCTAGGCTGGTTAACTTCTTTATCTTCACTCTGTGTGACTTCTTCTGTTGTTCTTCCTCTGGTTGAATGTGAGGTCATGACTTTAGGAGATGAAAGTACTTCTTGGGTTGGTGTATTTTGCTCAAATGAAGGTCGAGTGTTTAGTCTTGGCCTCTTTTGTGTTGTTAACCGCATGCCATCCTGTGTATTGTACTTCTCGGTAACCCCTTCCTTTTTAGATTTTTCTGTGTCTCTCTCACTGTCTTCTGTGACTGTTTTGTGTTTTTCTTGCTGTTCTATTGTTATCTCCCTCTCCACTGCAAGATTTTCACTGTCTCTGCTCTTTTCTTCGGTTAGTGTTCTGATCTCATCCCTCCGTCTCTCAAATTCTTCAAGGCTAACTGTAAATTTCTCATTTTCATCAACAGTCCTTTCAGTAGGATGAGGGGTGTTGTCTATCTCAGAAGTGACAATTGACTTTGTATTAGGTAAATTATGTCTGCCTGGAATTCTGCCTACATCAGGAACCTTTTCTGTAATAGTTGGAAAAGTGGTAAGGCTGCTGTCAATATCCTCTGTGGTAGGAAAAGTTTCAATGTTCAGATCTTCCTTGGCATCCAATTTTTCACTATCCTTATAATTATATTCGTCATAGTATTCACTTTCATCGTCCTTTGTCTGATACTCAGCAGATAGACTTTCAGTATTTTCAGGTGTGGTTGGAACACGTGCTGTAGTAGTAGTAGTAGTAGTAGTAGTGGTTGTAGTAGTAGTTGTAGTAGTAGTAGTTGGTGTGGTGGTTGTTGTTGGGAGAACAGTTGTGTGGGGCTTGTTTAATGGTTTAAAGGGGTTAAGGTGTGGATGGACTCTTCTCATTGGGGGTTTTCTACGTCTATAAGGGGGCCGTCTCCTGTTTGACTGACCAGGAACAAAGTTGTGGTTCCTCCTCCCATCTGGAGGGAAGGTAGCAATAACAGGTGAGGCTGTCACAGATTGAGGTACTTCTGTAATTCCACTCACATGGTCTAGGGATGGTTCCATAATTGTAGGAGGTGGTGGTAGACTTTCTAGTGTTTCAGAGTCTTTATTGATATAAATGTCTTTGTCCTTTTCAGAATGGGCCTCTGACCTAACTCTAAAATTTGTTGGCTCTACTGTAGTATCAGGAGAGGTAGTTGTTGTAGTATGGAGTAAGTTGCTAGTAGTAGTAGTAACAATCATAGTCAGAGTTTTAGTAGGTTTGCGTGTAATTGTTTTGACTGTTATAGTACTGGGCTCTTCGAGTGATTGCTCTGTAGGCAGAGAACCACTTGGTTTAGCATTTGCTTTTGCCAGTATTTCTGCCCAACGATTAGGATCTAATTCCTTTACTGATTTATTGGGTTTTCTTTTTGCATCTTTAATTCTCTGATTTTTGGAAAACCCATTAGGGGTCCTTTGCTGAGTTCCTACACTTTTAGGAAACTGCGTGGCAAAAGGACGTATAATTTCTTGGTAATATCCCCCAGAACCTTCTCCTTCCTCCATGTCAATTGGTAAAAGCTTCTGCTCCCCCTCTGTCTGTACTTTAGACTTTTCAGAGGCCTTTTTATCATTGACTTCCACCATGTGTGATAGCATATCAACTCCATACAGATTTGAGGCTAAGCAGCTGTATTCTCCTGCATCGTCTTGTGTCAGCTTCCTTACTACCAAAGTCCCATTTTCCATCACTTCTGCTCTTCTTGTCTGTTGTGTGGGGAGTAGAATTTGATTTTTGGGCAGGTACCACATAGTTTGAAATGGCTGAATTGAAGTCACATCACAGGGAAGAGCTAAAGAATGTCCCTTTTCAACTACGATTTTCTGACCATTGAAAGCTTTGGGGCTAAGCAAGAGTTCTTTAATTGTGAGTCTTAAAGGCATCAGGTCAACACCAGCGTTGGTTCTGACCATACAGTGGTAGAGGCCTGAGTCAGACAGTGTGGAATTTATAATCACAAGTTCTCCTCTTTCAGAAATTTCTATCTTATCATTTGCATCTTCCACAATGGACAAATCAGGAAGCATCCATTCAACTTTAACCTCTGGATCTGAAGTGATGACACTGCACTCTAAGTAAACCTTTGAACCCTCGAGAGCTGTTTGAACCCGTCCCACTGTCCCTCTCCGCATCTGTGCCCAGGAAGAAGTAAAGTCAGTGTCATCGTCCTGCCCTCTATGACTGCTGACATGCTTTGATATTAAAGTAGTGAAATCCATCACCAGTTTCTTAGTCGTTGTCTGCTGTCTGTTGAGCTTCAAAGTGACTCTGGGTTGAAGCAGCCAAGAGGGTTCTGCCGCCAAATGTCCTTTTAATTCTGTGAAATATGGAGAGTTTTCATTTACAGTTTGGGAATATTGATAGGTTACTCTGCTTGCATTCCCTCTCTGTTGACCTCTCTCCAGAATAGCAGGGCTTTCATAGTAATATGCAACCAGTTGCCATAGATTTTGCAATGTCTCCCGATCAATCTCGCACTCAAGGACAGTCACCAGCGATACATTGACAGATAACTCCCCAGGTGAATGGGGATTTATGGTCCAAGTCATAGGTAAATTATCTCCAGGTTGGCGAACATTACATGCCACATGAGCTTGGTTTCCATGGCTGTCAGAGAGAACAAAAGTCAGGGAACCCAAAGGTTTTTCAAAATCTCGGGTGTACGGAAGGTCCGGCTCTGTTTCAGATTCAGCCCACACTGGATTGTCCCACTGTTTGAGAGGGGAGCGAAGAGCTGGACGTTCACAGGTAAGCTTGTCCACAGTTAACCCTAACAAGAGGGTACTATTCAGGGGTTGAGGAGAAGCGCACTGGGGACAAATCTCATTGGTGCCACGTTCCTTCTTACACTTTATTACACCTGGGACAAAGAGAAGAGAGAGTGCTCAGATAAATTCAGCAAAAAGAAAACAAAAACAATAAATTAAGATTGGATGCAGGAAAAAAAGGTGAGAAAAGTGAAAAAAATTATATAGATATTACAAAAATATTGTACCTTTAAGTGGCTATCATGGATATGGTTTAAAAGCTTACTGTGCACTTGTTCAGCATTAAACAGCACAAAAGTTACAGTATACACAGTTAGCTCAGAATCTGGTAATGATCAAATGCTGAGCATATGAAGTGAATATTGAAATCACATTTACCAGGTTGACAGAAACGCAACTCCAAATAAATGATAGTATAGTTCGAAAACGGCTTGATGTATTAATAAGTAATTGTTAGTTAACATAGTTGGATTCTGTACATCACTATACTTTATAGGTATATATTCTTCTTTCTGGCCCCAGTAATACAAATAGAATAGACTTTATTGTTATTTATTTTTGGCACCACAAATTGGAATAATGAAGAAAGAGTGTCTACTTTAGTGTGTACATTAAGTTGTAAGGTTAGGAAATAATTTTAGAGAATGAATTCTTGTGTCCTTACCTTCATGTTTGGAACTCCATTCTACCAACCAGTGCAGGTGACAGTCACAGGTCCAGGGATTACCATGAAGAGAGAGGAGCTCAAGCCTGGGAGCAGTCTGCAGTGCTGCTGCAGGGAGCTGCTCCAACAGATTGTCTGACAGGTGTAAGTGTCTGAGACAAAAACATATAAATTACTCTACTTCTGCAGGCTAACAAGGGGGCGTGGCCTATCCTTGCATGCAGTGAAACAAGTCCAAAAAAATCATTAAACTGAAGGTAAGCAATTTATATGATCTAGGTCATTTCTAATAGTTTGTTTGAATTTTCCAACAATATGAGCAATATTTAAGATATTGTTTGATTTCTTACTTGAGTCCAGAGGTCCAAAAGCTTCCTAGTAGTGACACTGTAATGAAAGTATGAGGGTGGATGTCTTTGAGGAGGTTTCCCTCCAGCTGCAGAAGTTTCAGCGAGGTCAGGCCAGAGAAGGAGTATGGCTCTATAAAGTCTATAAGATTGTGGTCCAGATGAAGACGGATCAAACTAACAAGACCCTCAAACAGTCCAGGATTCACTGATGTTAGCTTGTTGTAACTCAGCTTCAAGATCTGGAAACAAGAAAAGTTGTGTTATATTCACATTTAGGGAACATTAAAACTTCTTCAAACTCAGAACCAGAGCTCTGATTTGCAATGGCCTTAGAAAAGAGAACCACACTTTTAGCCAGTCCCAGTGTGGTTCACTTCTTCTATTTATGCTTTTTTCTCTCTGTTGTTTGTATCTCTCCAATAGGAGAAACTGAAAAATCAACATCATCTCACATAAGTAATGCAAAATGAACTTGGTATTAAAATGTAGTTTCCACTTATGGCCTAATCCTGTTCTATTGGGCTCCAAATTGCTCCAACAATGATCTGAAGCCAGTTTCCGAAAACAGATGCTCTCAGGGGATTTAACAAAGATTGAAGAATGCCCATTAGCAAGCATGAGTATTTGGATCTGTTGGAACCAATAATTAAATCAATTTAATTCTTAATGGCCAACTAGCGCTTGGATCCCTTTTTGGTTCAGGTTTAAGGTCCAGTGCTACATAAATTGTAGCAAGAATCTGAGTGATCAGTCAGAAGGAAGCTGAATGTAAAGGTTTTATATATACAGCTCTGTTTTATCAGTTTGACAAGTTTTACTATAAAAATACCATTAAATATAATGAACTTATGTTGTCTTATTTAGACTATGTATAATAGTAATATTTCTTTCAAATTCCAAATTCAATAGACTCTAGAATGAAATGGATGCCATACATGTAGAGACGCAGACTCAGGACGAATCTGGAATTTTCTTAATTTCTTCAATTTCAAACACATGCGGACTCACACATAAAATTGTATATTTTACTGCACTTTTATTATTACATAAAGTACAATTTCCACATTACCCATATAATTTAGAAATGATATAGCGGACACAATAATTATATTGGTACTTGTACGGCAGGGTGCACACACTCACACATACACTACCTGGAGTGATCTCAGGCTGTAAAACGCCCCAGGGTGGACTGTGTTAACATCATTGCCATGCAACATGAGCATTTCCAGTTGCCGTAGTGACCTGAATTCTGAACCCTCAACCTCCGTCAGGCTGTTATAGCTGTCAGAAAAAAGAAAATAAATAGCACCAGTTATTATACAGGAATGAAAGAGTAACAAAGGGTCATAAGGGTTCAGTAGGAAGGGAAGCTAAAATTAGCAGTCGGTGCTTGCAAGCGTGTCTGGGTCGATGTGACCTTTCAATTGAACGGAGAAGGTAGGTGGAAGGAATGCTGAATGGAAAGAGGGAGAGTTGTATGTCAGAGAGCCCTCAGTCAACCTTTAACCTCCCCAATGCCCCTAATGAATTCCACATTATTCCTCTTAAAATTCACCATGTGCATGGCAGAGGAAACACACTCACACACACACACACACACTAATAAAAGGCTTTGTTGTCCCCTCTTTTTAACTTCATCTTTATAACATTTTAAAGCAGTAGGCGTATGTTACCCTGGTCATCTTAACATCTTGATTTTACCAGCAGTGAAAACTCAGTTAGTGAAGAACCTTTGATGGAATCTTCAGATTTCTACAGACATCCCGTAGATGCCAGAGCCAAAACATTATTTATCAAATGAACAGAAGCTACAGCACAGGACACAGTCTGTTGGCAGGGGCTGACAGTGCTTGACAGATTTGAGTGTAAGAGTTAGTCAGCCTTTTCAACTACAGGAACCAGGTCAAATCAACACAGTAATGTCAAACACAGTTCTTGTAGTGAGTTCCTGGGCTGATAAACACACAACACTGCCTGGCTGCAGTTATCCCTCTCCAACTGAACACCTATGGGAGAAGGGTGTGTATTTCCATCACCATAAATAAAACATCCAGCTTGCAATATATCATCAGTCACTTTCATCCAAAGCACCGATGGCATGAGTGCAAATGTTCTTAGTGAATGAAAGTGTTCATGCGTTGCTTATATACAGTAAGAAAATTCTTTCTGTATATAGGATTATCAGGCAGATTGAAGCTAGGACAATCACCTTGTAAAGATTGTTTGTATGTGTATTCAAAACATCTATAGCCAAGACGTTTAACACGAACCCTGAAACAATAAGACAACCATCTCAAATGTATAGGATGCCGGGTCATTTGAAAAATGTTGCTAGTGGATGCAGGTCTGTGCACTCTAAAGGGTCATATTGACACAGGAGTGTGTCAAATGTGTGATAAAATAGACTTGCCAAATAAACAGCTGAATAATTGTTATCTTGCTGATCTATCAATTAGCTTGGTTGTTAGGCCCACAAAACATTGAAAATTGAAAACCCACTGGAGTCACAGCTTCTAGTATGACGAACTGCTGGCAATTAGAAGTCAACACTCAATGATCATTCAGCACAATGGTCACTTCGAAAGAGGACGGAAACTTATACATATAGAGCGGTTTTCTTTTATATTCAAACAGCACTGCTTGAACCCCAAACTAAAGGGAAACAGACCAAGGAGTGTAAATAAAACACTCCAAACATGTCTGGTGTGAACATGTATACCAAAAAGTTTGCATGAGAGAGCAAATCCCCTTGGGCTGCTCCTCATTTAGCAGGGTGGTCGAGTGTTTGGAAAGTCAGAGCCTGTTAGCTCCCTAAAGGTTTGGTTACTCTCCAAATTTTTCTTCTGCTGAAAATAAATCATTCATTTTTTTGCAACTGACTGTTTGCTAAACTTATTACAGACGTTCAATTTATTATTTTTATAAATTTTGAAATATGGGTATTTTTGTTTGATAATAAACAAAAGTAGTCCTCTAATGTATTTTTTGGGGGGAGGCGTCGGATGCATTCGTCTTTAATGATAGATCAGCACAAGTGTGAAATGGGGTGAGATAGTTGGGAAAACAATCAGCAAAAGTCAGAACCAAATTCGAAAGTCTTGTTTTATTTTGTTAAAATGTTGCCTTTGGAACAGGAAAGCTACATTTTTCTGTTTCAAAACCAAAGCAGAGAAAACAAGTATTTGTTTTGCCAGTGGTGAGGAAAGCAGTATCGCCTGAACAAATGGCTGATGACATAACCAGCCATAAAAAGTGATAGTTATTTTGTATTAACTTTATAGGCTGGCCTAGTTTCTGCAAAGTACATTTTATTAAATCCAATAAAAAGTAGGCGGGTAATTTCATTTAATAACCATCATTTAACCATCATTTCATCTATTCTTCATTTATCATTTTAAAACTGTTTCCCCCTGTAGTGAAATGCTGGCAGATTTAAACCAGCATATTCCTTTTTGTTTGGGTTTATTATTTAGAATGCATTGATGATCCCAGAGTAACAGAGCACATATGGAGACAGTTTATCTCCAGTAGCTTTTGCGACATATCAAAAGCTTTATCATATCAAAGAGTTATAGCAAAGAGTTGAGGAGCTACACTGAAATGCAGTGATTCCCAACTTAGAGCCTTGCATGCACATGAAAAGTCTTCTATGATCAATAGAGCAGCTCTGTTTTGTCACCATGTAAATATGGATTGTTTGGAGCCAATTATTAGACAAATCAATTTGTTACATACAAAACAGAAGCTGGGCAATTACGCTGCTGTACAGGAGGGAAGTGAACTCTCTGTCCACGATACAAAGACCCACATGGAAGCGATTAGGGCTTTATTCCCTCCGTAGTGTTTTGTACCACATGCTGATGCTAAGACCTTGTATTCTGCATTTAAAGGAGATTTTGTCGAATATACTTCACCCTGGTCTACATGGAGACACTTCTTCTTTTGTGTTTTTCACAAACAGCTATATGTTCTCATGACCCCACCCACTGAGGCAAGAGAGTAAATTCTCTGCAGGATCCATGGTATTAAAACATGATCTGAAAAGAACAGTCAAAAGGCTATATCACCAATCAAAAAGCACTTGGCTCAGCATTTCTTTGTGTAAGTGATATGAGGCGTTGTTGATAATATGTTAGCTAACAAAATAATTTCTCTGACAAATTACCTACACCACATTCCACACTATATCCTGTTGTGTTTAGTTTTCTTTCCCTTGGGGTGGTTGATAACAGAGTCTCAGTGCTTCTGTGTGGACGTGTGTTGATGCAGTGATAGAGTCTTACCCCAGGTTGAGCCTCTCTGTATCTTTAGGAAAGGTTTTTGGTATGGTAGTCAAGTGTCTGAATGTACAGTGGACCTCTTTAACACCTGGACAGCTACAGGTCCGGGGGCAGGATGGGACAGCGTAGACGGGATAGATCTTCAGGTGATGAGTGGAGTTGTGACAGTCGTCAGATTAAGAGGAAGGGGTGAGAGAGGAGAGTAATTCAAGGGAAGGCCGGGAATAAAGGTGAGAGTACAAGAGGGTATAAGAGGGCAATGAAGAGAGGTGGATTCAGAAAAGATGAGAAAAAGACAAGCAAACAGATGAGTTCAGACTTGTGTAGTAGCTTGACAGTTTTGGAAAGAAATCAATGCTAAGCGGAATAAATAGACCTGAGGCTTCTATAAAAGAGCCCAGGTGTAATAACACTATGCGCTCCTATGCTCATTTCTAGCAAGCATTTTTTAGAAGATGATACAGAGGCCTGAATGAATATCATTTAAGGAAATACATTTATCTAACTTACTAATGGCTACAGCTTTTTTATAAAACTGGTGTCTAATACGAGCCATACAGGATTTACATGTGCCCATTATCTTCACAGTGAACAAAACTTGACTGTTGCAACTGTTATGAGTCACGATTTCACAATTTAAGCAACAAACCACTGGCCTGAGACGCTGAGAGTCTCCCAAGGAAGATTTACCGTTTGCCACAGCAGTGATGAGAGGAGCAGAGGAAACCATGCTGCAGCCAACCTGCAGCAGATGTTGGCGCACCAACGGAGCGCCATGACTGGACGGCTGTCTGACTGCTCACGCCATCAATACACCTGCAGGAAGGAATTAAGATGCATGGATCAACAGTATGTCAAAACCAGCAACATTTTAAACTTAGAAAAAAAAGGGATTTATTGGCGGTAATAAATTGGTGCCTCGGTTACTGCCATTGCTGTGATGCATATTTCCAGTAGATAATAATTGTAAAGTAACTTGTACTCAACGTATCCTCCACTAACTCTTGCCAGTTCTTGCAACTCTGAACAGGATAAGCACTTCAAAGAACAGAGAGGGCGACATGAAGAATGATAATTCATATTAATAAATGGATACCTCCAAAACCACACTTTGTCCTAGACATGTTCATCTATTGAACCCTAATTCTTGAAATTCTCTAGATCTAGAGCAAAAAGTATACTACACCCGCATTAACTGACTTTTTTGGCCACTTGGCGGCTGGAAAATCACACTGAACACAACACTGACATGTTATTAAAATGATAAAGTTTATATGAAAAACTTTGGAGTTTATAACCTTCCAGCAGATACTAAGCAACACTACCATGATTTTGGAGTCATGTTTTTTTTTGGTCTCCAACACGTCTTACTCTTCAAATCTGCTAACTTTGCTGTTTTCTTGTGCAGGGAGTGTGACTGAGAGGTTACACAGCTATCTGTCGAAGCTGGAATCGACACTGGTGAGATTTGTGATACTGAATTAGAACAGAAAACCTGTTGGGTGAAAGTTCTCCATATGTGCGCATACATATTCCGCTGATATGTATTTATTTTTTTACACCTAATGGGTTATTAGAAAGAAGGTACGTAACTAGATGTTGCTAAGATGACTTTTCAGCTCGGGCTAGACATAATTACCTTTAGAAGAGAAAATTACCATAATGATGTGCAAAATGAACCACATTAATAAGCATGTTGCACAGGTCTAGGCTGGTACTGCCATTATATTACATTAGACAAAGAAAGACAGAAAGAAAGAAAGAAATCACATGATAGTATTTGAGAGACTGAGAGAGAAAGTTCCTATGTGAGAAAAATCTCCTCAACTGAATCTAGTGACAACTGTAGCAGCTCTCTTTATACTAAACTATTTGCCCTCCAGGTTGATAAAACACATCAGCAAGCTATGAACCCAAGCTCAAATAAATCCTGTCTGTCTTCTCTGCACCTTTCCTCAGGTAACTCAGTGGAATGCAAATCCTCTTTTATCCAATATAATCATGTTTAAAACAACAAATATATTTGTATTTGGTGACTCACAATAGACAAATCATCTGTTGATAATAATGTCTCAAGTTACAGTTCATACAAAACACTGGAATAGAAAAGATTGCATTCATTACAATAGTTGTGTGGAAAACAACCACTCAACATTGGCAGTTGTGGTTTGTTGCAGTGCCAGGTGGTTTGGCAGTCGCTATGTTGGTTTAAACGTTAACATGCTGTTTGAGGGCATTACATGCCAATTACATACAGCCACACTCAATGGAACACACACCCCTACACACATCAATCTGGTAGTCAACTCTGAGGAGGGAAAGAATGGGGTGGAAAAAAAGAAGGAGAAACATTCACAGGTAAAACCAAACAACACCCGAACATATTTGAAGTCATTAGAGACCAGCTTGGGGTTTCTGGTTTCCACTTGTATGTCTGTCTTCTCTCCTCACAGGAAGGCTAATTCACCTAACAGCTGTGTGTGTGTGTGTGTGTGTGTGTGTGTGTGTGTTTGTGTGTACTTGTACTTAAATATTTGTGGACCTTTTTGAGCGTTGACCTTACAGAGTGAGGACAATTTTGGAAAGCGAGGACATTTTGACCAATCCTCACTAATTAAAATGCTTGTTTTAGGGTTAAGACTTGCTTTTAGGGTTAGGGTTAGAATTAGGTTTAGGTCAGGGTCAAGCTTTTAGTTAAGGTTAGGGTAAGGGGGCTGGCGAGTGCATTATGCCTATGAGGAAGTTCAAGAATGTGTGTTTGTGAGACAGAGAAAGAGAAAGAGAGAGAGAAATCATACTCTCTCTTTCTCTCACAAACATGCACACACGCTAGCATGCACAGTTTGTTCTTCCTGGTCTGACAAACACATTAACCTTCACAGAGGTCGGTCAGACTCACTGATGGTTTCACTAGTGCACACACATCAAATTCAATGTTTCCATCGTCACAGTGTAACGTGAGACAGTTGGTGAGAATAACAACAAATGCAATACTCCCAATAACAAGTAAATCCTGCTTCTTTAGTACTTGGTCCTACAAGGCAGAGGGCACACATATGTTAGCTTTGCAATATTACACTTTCACCACTGCAATGAACATGAGGGTGACGGATTTCCTACTGTATTTGACATTATTGTCTGGGTTAACATTACGACTAGAATCTATTGCCTCACTACCTACTCTGTGAGGCTGTTAGGCACAGCAGTAGTTTGATATAAAAACGTCCCTGCTAACATTTAATGTAATCTGTTTGGCTGGACCGGCCATGGTCCATTTAACCAAGCTACTTACTGGACCTTAATTTTGCATCAACTCATTTGGCCACTGGGGGCATTGGCACTGAACCGTGAACATTACAGTGAAATGAACTCTTTACGTTAAAAGGTGTTTGCAACAAGCAACTACATACACAGCATTAGCATTCAAATATTTAGCTCTGTTAGTGAAATATTAGCAATTATCTAATCATATCTGTTTGATGCTTGGGCTTTTTAGAGCACAAATAAAAAATGTTAAAGGTACAGTAATTATTTATTTATCCGCAGACAGGGACTCTGTTCTCTTTTGTCCTTATAGAGGTCAGGGGTCAACTACAGAACAGAAGCTCTGGAGCTGTTTGAGATTCTTCCCTGTGGTTAAGGATACTGAAGAAGGAGGGATGCTTTGTGGCACACGAGCTTGAACCTGGAGCCTCAGCTCCCTAATGACTTTTCCACCTTGTGGAAACTTGTAAAAACTTTTTTAAGGCAGCACCTGATCATATGATACCTTCCCAGAGAATGTCCCATATTGTTCATATTAGTTTAGCCATATGTGGTATATTTTTCATAGCATGTGAAAAAACATTGAGTGCAGTTTATTAGGTGTTACATGACTCTAATCCATGATATGACTCAGGTAGGACCTAAAGCTGCTGGTGCAGCTTCTACATTGATTTTACGCAGCAATAAAGGTGTCCACTCAGTGTTGGCCTTCAATATGAAGGAGTATTATGATGGCAAGTGAAAGCTAGTTTCCCACTGGAGCTGACTCTCCTCCATGGCTTTAACAGCTCTCCTGTGTAAGCACACTGGAGACAGAGAGAGGGAAGGAAAGGAAAGCATGATAAGAGGAGGATATAGCAAAAAGAAACAAAGATGAGCAACAAAAATATGGCTTCCTCTGTGCTATGGAATCACTTAGTACTGCTCCCAGGCTCTCACCTGACAAAGATAAAGTGCTATACTTCCACCAAAAGAGCCAGAGCACTACACGTATCAGCACTCCTTCTTATCAAAATCAGATGTTCACTGGCACATTCCTTTGTTTTTTACAATATGGCTTGGACTTCTTTCCATCTTATTATCACAGACTTATTCTGTATTTTTAAACTCGATCACTAACTGAATCATGTAAAGAGCCAAAGTCATGCTGTGGACTTTTAATTTGAAAAGAGGCCTGTCTCTGTCATTTTCATAAATAACTTGCAATGTAATCTCAATTTAAGTGTTGCCACAATGGGAATAAAACATACGTAAACCGGTACTAAACTTTGGTTAAGGTTTGACTAGGCAAGGTTTTGAGGTAGCCATCCTTTCCTCTTGTTCCAGTAGCCCAGTTTAATCTATGTATAAATGGAGAAATCTCTGTCTGAGATAAAACACATTAGTTTAATCAGGGTATTACCTACAGTAAAGAAAAACATGACCATGTATTTATTCAACATATTCATTGTATTCATGACGTGATTGCTGTCTGTAAATAATTGTTCTAAACTAATTAAAAGTTAAAGTAATCTCTATAAAACATAGTGTGTTCCTTTAAGAATGTCTGAGTGCAGCCAATACATCTTGATGTCAAAAGCATTAAACTGACTGCCAGCCAAGTCACAGCTGCTCTATTCAAGATAACACATGTCAAGAGACGACTACGAATATGATTCCCACATGTTTTCCACGCAAGTCTGTAGTATCATATGCTGCCCATATACCTTCATTCAGAAGCGTCTTTCATCATCATTTGTTAATTGTTATCACTGGATAATAAGCAGTCTCCAAAATGTCATTTAGCATATTAAACATGTACATTTTCTAACTGATACACATATATTTTTGACATTTTATGTGGACTTATTTAGATATATGACATAGAGAGATATTTTTCATGATTCCTTTACAAGTTCTGAGGCCAAATAGAGTTCACTTTCAATTTAAAAGCCCTTTTTGCATTACAGTTGTTATGAAATGTGTTGGTCTTTTTGCTTTGTGTCGCAAAGTAATGTTTTGCCTTCACACTGAATATATGGTGTCTGGAACAAAATCCTTTGAATGGCTGCTAATTGAAAACTATTTTTAACTATTTTCACGCGCAGATTGCTCTCAGATTTTCCTTCTAAGCTTTGGCAGTAAATCTGTCAGTTTGTGCATGGCTGCAGATGCTCATGTGGCTTTCAAACAAACTTAAAATGATTCATACATAAGCATGTCTTGAAAGCTTTATTCCGCCTCTCTGCTTATTATTACAGAAAACTAGCCCACTAGTCGTTACAACAATGCTGCGTGTAGCTAATAAATACTTGAGTGTATTTATATTCAGCGCGTGTTGCTTGAAGTGCTCGCTGGTAGCATTATGATTGAAATGCCAAAGGGAACTGGTTGTGGTAAACAAACTTCCCCAGCAACAGGCTGTGTTTTTCAGAAATGATTGACTCTTGTGCAGTATGTCATACATGTGCAAATATTTGTAATTTCAGATGCTCTTTGAAAACAATCATGTGGAAATCTTATTTTGGGGGGTG